TGACCCTTCAGTCCGCAGGCCCTCGCTCCATCCACTGAGCCAAACCAGCCAGGGCAGAATTTATCTTTGTATACATCCTATTGTCTGTGTATTTAAAGGAAATTAATCATTAATGCTTTTGAAGAGGACAGCTCAGCAGAGTGGCTTGGTTGAGTGCCATTCCGGGCATGAAAGGTTGCTGGCTTGATTCCTGGTCAGGGCACATACCTGAGTTTCAGGTTTGATTATCCAATCAGGAAGCATACAGAATAAAGACAGGAGCATTGCCCCGCAAGCTTGACTCAGTGGTTGAGCGTCAACCTATGAACCAGAAGGTCATGGTTCCATTCCTGGTCAGGGCACATGCCCAGGTTGTGGGCTTGATCTCTAGTAGCAGGTATGCAGGAGGCAGCCGACTGATGCTTTCTCTCATCAGTGTTTCCATCTCTCTATCCCTCTCTCTAAAAAGTCAATAAAACATTAAAAAAAAGAGATAGTTTAACAAGTGTGACTAATACCAGATTTACTCCTAATACTACAGATGACTCTGTGTGTATATATCCCATTTTGTCTAGCTAGTCACTGTCTCAAATTTAGATTAATATCAACTCTTGTTCATTATTTTAAAGTATTTAGGGTAGAGTTTTACAATATGTTAGCAGTAAGTGTAGTATTAATGGTGCTTTGTTAATTACTTGATAAACATTTTTAAACTGATGTGAAATCTCTCTAAAGAATGAAGAATAGATTGGTTGAAAGAAATTAGTTGGACCTTGAGTGATCTGAATTGTAAAAAATAACAGTTTAATTTTATGAGTTTAATTTGTGTATACTTTGTGATTTACTCTGAGTATAAACAATATGTAAAGTTAACCACTTATAGTAATTTGTATTAACTTTTTCCCTCTTGTTTTCTACCATCAGGAGAAAGCAATTCAGCAATTTCTACAGAAGACCTAAAAGAATGCCTGAAGAAACAATTAGAATTCTGTTTCTCACGGTACACGATCATTTTTGTGTAGATATTTCTCCTCTTTTTTTTTTTAATTGTTTGGTTGGTAGATGTAAAATACCTGGAAGAATGGTGATTTTAATTTCCTTCAGTTATGTATTCTGGTATCATTCTTCTATATTTCTTAACTAAATTTAAGGATATAATCTTTAAGCATGTCAAACTCAAAGGCTATCACAGGCCAAATGAACAAGGTTTAAGTTTGTGTGGGCTGCAAAAAAACAAAAGCTTCAATTTTCATAGAGACAGGCTTATTTCGATAGAGACATGCTGAATACAAAGGGTTGAAATAAATGAGTAATTGTTAACATAAAATAATAGAACATTTTAATAAAAATTAATATTTTTTCTTGAACCTGCTGGTATTGGTGGAGAGAAATGGTGCGCCTGCACATAAGACATAAGGGAAATGAATGCAACGCGATTATAGTAATCAGTCATTAGTGAATGTTGCACTAGTAGTTTGTTATTAATAATTATGTATAACAGGATATTGTAAAAATTAAATTATAAAATTTTTATTAAAACATTTCTTACATACCGTTATATTGGCTGGGCTGCAAAAGTATTCGTTGTGGGCTGTGAGTTTGACATGCTTGTTTCAATGCAAAAGATACTCTATTTTCACTAGAAAGATAATGAAATTTCTCTTGGATACCTTTTTAAAAATATATATTTTTACTGATTTCAGAGAGGAGGGAGAGGGAGAGAGAAAGAAACACCAATGACAACAGGTAATCATTGATTGGCTGCCTCCTGCATGCTCCCTATTGGGGATTGAGCCCACAGCCTGGGCATCTCCTCTGAGGGAATCGAACCATGACCTCCTGGTTCATGGGTCAACACTCAACCACTGAGCCACACTGGCCAGGCTAACAATTTTGTTTTAATTGATTTGAGAGAAAGAGACATCGATTTGTTGTTCCACTTATACATTCATTGGTTGCTTCTTGTATGTGTCCTGGCCAGGGATTAAACCCATAATCTTGGTGTATTGGGACAACGCTTTAACCAACTGAGCTACCTGGCCAGGGCCCCATGAGTGTTTTTAAAGCAAACATGAAGATTTGAACCTCTTGATTTGCATGATTTTGTGGGGTTTTCTGGGTCAAGTGAGGAATGAACTATTTTCGGAGGTCACCTCAGGCTGCTTTTGAAAAAGGTTTTTTTATTTCTTTAGACACAGTACACTCTCAGCTTAGGTTTAATTGATTCCTCATCCTAAATATCTCCCTTTCCTTCTTTGTCTTCATAATCTAGTATTGGCCCTACTATATAAAAAAGCAAGAACCTTCTGGCTTTTTTTTCTCCAATCAGATACAGTTCATTTTCTGTAACATATTTATAATAGTTATTTTAAAATCTTTGCCTATTAACTGGATCATTTGTGTGTCTGCTAATATTTTGAGTTTTTTCTCTTGATTCTGTCATAATTTTCCTGCCTTTTTTGCATGTCATAAATTTTGATTATATGCTGGACATTACTTACAAAAGAAGCTAGGAGCTGCAAGTGATATAATTTTTCCTTCTAGAAAATATTTGAGCTTTCTTCTGGTAGGCAGAAGCAGAATGATTGCTTCAATCCAGTCAGGAATCAAGCTAGGTCAGGGCTGAGCAGCCATTTTAATTAGATTTTATTCACCTCTAATTTATGTATATTCCTTAGGCATGGACTTCTCAGGCTTTTGATTTAGAAGTTGGCAGTTTTCTGTTACGTCAGTCCTGAAACATCAAGGGAGATTTAGTTGTCTTCTTCAGAGGCTTGAGATTAGCTCTTTGGCCTCTTACCTCATACAGCTCTAAAATCTGGAAAATGTCTTGTGGAGGAAACCTGTCTTGTGTTTGATGCAATGTTCATTCTTTTTCCCCCTGGAACTTCCACAAGACCACAGAGATTTTATCTTTCCCACTTGACTCCCAGTCTCTCATCTCTGTCCTTCGAACTCAAGTAAACACAGTTGTGTTGGAGGGCTTCTTTAGTTTCGGATTCATAATGCCAGTCCTGTGCAACTGCTGAAAGCTTTGCTGGTTTTACTCTGCTCCAGGATCTGCAAATGCCCTCAGGAAAGAAAGATCATCTTTCTGGAATTTTATTTTGTCCTTGTAGCTTCCATAGCTCTTCTTTTATCTTTGAACACGTAATTGTTTCAAGTGTTTTTAGTTGTTGCAGTGGAAGCTCTTGCTTATGATAATTACCACATTTTGCTCAGCACTGTGTTACAGTTCAAACCAGCTGGGCGATTGATTGACATTTGTAGGTCAGTAAAATGGCCATCAGAACATGTCATATATTAGTCATAATTGTTCAAAGCTTAGATGTTATATCCATTAAGTTGACTTCTGTGAAGTACAGTTTCTTTAAGGGTTTGACACAATGTTTTATAAGAATAGACCTGAAAATCAGAGTAAATTCAGGCTACAACTTTTTAGTTATGCAAATATTATGTTTATTATTTTATTTTCAAGTTCTTAAAGAATTTTTCAGCCCTGGCTGGGTAGGTCATTTGGTTAGAGTGTGGTCCCACTGCCAAGGTTGCAGGTTCGATTGTCTCAGTTGGTTGGTGCATCATCCTGTACACCAATAGGTCGGGTGCATGATGGGAGGCAACTAATAAATGCTTCTCTCATGTCGATGTTTCCTCTCTCTCTCTCTCTCTCTCTCTCTCTCTCTCTCTCTCTCTTATTTTTAAAGAGTCCTTATTTTTTTTAAGTTTTTTATTTATAAGGGTGATGCTGATACTAGTATGTTACTCCTTTGGTGCTGAATTGAGTTTAATCTTTGCTGGTGTCCCTGTATTCTCTGTTTTCTTCCCAAAGCAAATAACTACCACCTGTTGACAGTTGTAACCTTTAAAAAGTAATTACTACGCTGTTTTAATATAATTTTAATTTAAAGGCATTTGATCCTACTCTTTGCCAAGCACTAGGGCTTTGAAACACGTTTGAACAACAAAGACCCTTTCTGGCTGGGGAGGTTGGGGGGCAAAACAGTAAAAGTAACAAATAGGCAAATTAGAAGTGTTTGGTGATAATCACTATGGAAAAATATTAAATAGAGCAGTATAAGCAAGGGAAGGGGCATCAATAGTGCTTGGGTGGTTTCAGTTTTAAATAGGTCATTAAGATGGTGGCTTTTAAGCATAGACTTCTAGATATTTATAACCAGACTGCTTTAAAGATTTGATGTGAATAAGGTATGGATTTTATTTTACTTCAGTTTGTTAAATAATATGTGTAAGATAGAAGTGTTTACATATTCTTTTTTTAAATGTATCTTAAAGAATCTTTAGTCTTAATTTTTTTTTTAATTAGTAATCGTGCCTTGGATAAACCTCATTGGCTATGACACTGCCACTGTGTAAAGCTTTTTTTTTTTTTTTTTTTTAAATCCTCACCTGAGGATATTATCCCATGGACTTTTAGAGAGAGTAGAAGAGAGGGAACGATAGAGAGAAATATTGATGTGAGAGAAGCACATCGATTGGTTGCCTCCTGCACGAGCCCTGAACAGGGCCCAGGCTGCGGAGGAGTCTGCAACTAAGGTACATGCCCTTGACTGTAATTGAACCAAGGACCCTTCAGTCCGCAGGCCGACCCTCTATCCACTGAGCCAAACCAAGTAGGGCATAGTCTTAACTTTTTAATATTTTAAATTTATTATTTAAATGTAAAATAAAGATTAAACATATTTATAAGTAAATGCTAACGTTCAGAAACTTAAAATCCTTTACGATCCAACTCATGGCTTAAACTGCATATTCTAACATCAGTGATAAAGTGTTTATAAGATGGAACTACACTTTATATAATATTTTGTATTGTACTTTTAAATTTAATACTAAAGCCTCTTTTCATATTAATATAATTCCATAAAATTCCTTGTTCAAAACTGTTGGGCCCAAAAGTTCAAGGGATTAAGCCAAAAACAAAACAGACAAATGAACTCAGCGACACAGACAATAAATAGTATGGCGATTACCAGAGGGAAAGAAGTGGGTAAAGGGTGGTAGAAAAAGGTATAGGGGGCATAAATGATGCTGGAAGGAGACTTGACTTGCAGTAGTGAACTCACAGTACAGTTTACAGATGATGTATTATAGAATTGTACACCTGAAACCTATACAATTTTATTGACCAATGTCACCTTGGTAAATTCAATAAAAAAGTAAACAAACTATTTGGCCCAGTGTATTTGGAGATTCAGAATATTTCTGGAAGTTTTTAAAGCACATTTGTTGCATATTATATGTTTTCATAATTGTGTTATTTCTATAGCATAATTTTGTTTTCCTAGACTTAGTGACAAAAGTGAATAAGGCATCTCTTTAGGTGCTTTTAAGGAATTGTTTGTTTTATAGTACTGTTGATTCTGTTTATTTTTCACAGAGAAAATTTGTCAAAGGATCTTTACCTGATATCTCAAATGGACAGTGATCAGTTCATTCCAATTTGGACAGTTGCCAACATGGAAGAAATAAAAAAGCTAACTACAGACCCCGAAATAATTCTTGAAGTATTGAGATGTATGTAAAGCATACCTTTTAGCTTATTCTTTAAGTCAAAAAATTAAATGTTCTTTTAATTTCTGATTAGACAGGGAATTGTTTTAAGTTCCTATTTTTTGCTACTCTGTTCCAATCATTTATCTTTACTGACTGGTATATAACTTCTATATCAATTTTATACCTTCATTGTTAATCTTGATACCCAGGTACACATATAAGAAATTAAATCTCAGTTTTCTGGGCTTTTTTAAAAAATATATTTTATTGATTTTTTACAGGGAGGAAGGGAGAGAGATAGAGAGTTAGAAACATCGATGAGAGAGAAACATCGATCAGCTGCCTCCTGCACATCTCCCACTGGGGATGTGCCCGCAACCCAGGTACATGCCCTTGACCGGAATCGAACCTGGGACCGTTCAGTCCCCAGGCTGACGCTCCATCCACTGAGCCCAACCGGTTTCGGCTTTCTGGGCTATTAGAAAGTTTTATGTATCTGTTTTTTGTTTTTGTTCATCAATTTATGTTGTTCATTATATTCCATAAATGAGTGAGGTCATGTGATATTTATCTTTCTCTGACTGGCTTATTTTACTTAGCATTTTCACACCTTTAAAGCAATCTATTTCAAACCTTTGAACTCATGTAGTACATTTTACATCACAGTCCAGTACATATACTATATACTCACACATAACAAATGCTACACAGATTAATTCTAAATGCTTACAACAAACTCATTTCTTTTAGTCTAAACTGATTCACAGCCTATTAAAGAGTTGTAACCTACAGTTTGACAAACACTGCTGTAAAATTTGGTAAGGAATTTATATTTTGTTTGAGGTTCTAAGAATTTTTAGTGATGTTTGTATCTAATAAGTATTTCTTGGTAACCTTTCATGTGGTTTTTGCTAACTACTTGACTGAATAAAGGCAGATCTTAAATTTGATATAAAATATGTTGCTGGAAATGTTTAAAAATTAAATATAGCAAGTTCAATAATAGACTTACTACTTGGGAGTAGAGGATTTTCATTCTCAGAAGGCTAAAAAATAATTTTGTGAAATCAGAGTGGTTTGTGCAGACATCATTTCTTAAAATGATCCAATCTTGTGCGTAATTCTTGGTTTAAGCATTTTAAAATATATATTTCAGAGAGGAGAGGAGAGGGTGAGAGAGAGAAACATTAATGATGAGAGAGAATCATTGATGGACTGCCTCCTGCATGCCCACTACTGGGGGATCAAGTTCGCAATCTGGAATCAAACCCGGGACTCTTCAGTCCTCAAGCCTACGCTCTATCCACTGAGCCAAACCAGCTAGGGCAAGCCACTTCTGAGACTGTAATTTTAAGAAGAGTTTCTTCACATATTAAAACTTAACTGCATTTCCCCAAGTAGGGAATCAATAATGTGGTATTTGTGTGTGGAGAAATTGCCTTCTTAGTTATGTGCTGCGTGCTCCTTGAAGGCTTTTTCCCCCCAACCACAACACAGGGGCAAACCGCAAAGTAGGTACTCTGAATATTTTTGTTCAAAGAATAATATTTGACAGTGTCCTTTGACGCTTCTTAAAATATTTTATTGTAACTTTAATCTTTAATTCTACAACTTAATTTCTTTGGGATAATAACCTCTGCTAATTCAGTTGGATGTAGAAATGAATAGCTTACTTTTAATGGCATTACTATCTCTACTTGTCACTTTTGAATGAAATCTTTTTTAAATTTCAGCCTCTCCCATGGTACAAGTTGATGAGAAGGGTGAGAAAGTGAGACCAAGTCATAAGCGTTGTATCGTGATTCTTAGAGAGATTCCTGAGACAACACCGGTAGAGGTAAATTATTAAGCATTGTTAACGCTGAGTTCTCTTTACCTTTTAAATTGGAGGAGTTAAAATAAGCAGAATGTGTCCGTGTCCTCATCAGTTTCTGTGAACAGGATAAACACTAACTTGTTTTGTAAACTTTGAAGAATGGTGCAGAGGGAGGAAGAAGAGATGATTGTATGTTCTTAGAAGGGGAGACTGAAACTTGCAATATATTGATTTGACTGAATGGCAATTAAAATATAAATGTGCTTTTGGGAACTTGAGATTTATCTGAAAGAAATGAAGAAGAAAAATATGAATAAGGATTAATGGGCCAGGACTAACCCTTCTGGTTAGCAAAATATAGAGCAAAGTTGCAGCAGCCAGCTCGTGTGGCTCAGTGGTTGAGCATTGACCTATGAGCTACAATGGTTCGATTCCCAGTCAGGTCATATACCCGGGTTGCAGGCTCAATCCCCAGTGTGTAGCATGCAAGAGGCAGCTGATCGATGAGTCTCTCTCATCATTGATGTTTCTATCTGTCTCTCTTCCTTCCTCTCAGAAAACAATAAAAAAATATTTATACATTAAAGCAAAGCTGCAGTTATAAAGATAATATAGTACAGGTACAAAAATAAAATAATACTTGAATGAAACAGTATAATCCAGAAATAGGCTCTTTTATACAATAAGGTATGTATAATAGCATTTACTTGATAATTAGGTTCTTCCAAGTATTGTGCAATATACTTCAGTTATATAAAGCCTCAGGTTTTATTATCTGATTTACAGACAAAGTTAACTGAGCTTTAGGATGGTTAAATAAGTTAGCTAAGGACACTTGGGCTGTTTAAATAACAGAATCTGGATTTGAACTTCATCTCTCTGATTTTGAAGCCTGTGTTTCTTAACCACTAAGCCATAGAGCTTCACACTGAGTTGTCATGTTAAGGCATAGTAAATTAGAGAAGAGGAGAATTAATTAGTAACTGATACATGGTAATTGACTAACCATTTTTAAAATGGTTAGACTTTTGCCACCTAACATATTTGTTCATCTTTTTGTTCAAAGTTCATTTAGTATTATATCTCCAGAATGCAGTGAGAGAAATTGGAAAAGAAACTCTCATGAGATCTTTGATTTAAAATTATGAACTATGTCAAAAGTAACAAATTGAAAGGAAGATTGCAGAATAGGAAGAATATTTGCAATATTAAGAAACAGTATATACACAAACTGAATTCTAGAGCCAAACTGCCTCAATTTGAATTCTAGCCTTTTTACTTGCCAGTTCTATGACCTTGGGTAAGTTACTTGACCTCTTTTGCCTCTACTTTCTCATCTGTTAAATGGGATAATAGTAACAAGTAATTCATAAAATTTTTGTGAGAATTAAGTTACTATATAAAGACCAGTAGCAAGCATATTAAAGCACTCTTAAGGTTAAAAATATTATTTTTTAAAATATATATTTTTATTGCTTTCAGAGAGGAAGGGAGAGGGAGAGAAAGAGAAACATTAATGCTGAGAGAGAATCATTGATTGCCTGCCTCCTGCACACCCCTACTGGGAATTGAACCGTGACTTTCTGGTTCATAGGGAACATACTCAACCCCTGAGCCATGCCAGCCAGGCCCATTATTATCACTAGAGCTCACACACATGGAAAACAGTAAATAAAAGGAACGAGGCAGCAACACACTGTTCATTTAAAAAAAAAAGGTATGTCCAGCTGGTGGGACTCAGTGGTTGAGCGTCGTCATATGAACCAGGAGGTCAGGGCACATGTCTGGGTTGTGGGCTGCATCCCTAGTGTGGGGCGTGCAGGAGGCAGCTGATCAATGATTCTCTCTCATCATTGATATCTCTCTCTCTCTCCCTCCCTCCCTCCCTCCCTCCCTCCCTCCCTCCCTCCCTCTCTCTCTCCCTCCTCTCTCTTTCTCTCTCCCTCTTTTTCCCTCTCCCTCTTTTTCTCCCTCTCCCTAACTCTCTGCCATCCATATAAATACATTAAAAAAAAAAAAAGAGTAAAGGAAGTACAGATGACTAAAATAGCCAGAGAATGTTGACCTAGGCCCTAAAAACTGAAATTCATATTAAAATGAGATTTGGGCCCTGCCAGTGTTGATCAGTGATTGAGCACCAACCTATGAACCAGGAAGTTCTGGATCCATTCATACTGATATTTCACTGTGACAAAGAGTGTCTCTCAGGCAACAAACAAAGGGGGAATGCTTTTGTTTTTGGAGAAATCAAAGAAAGTACAACTTTAAAACATTAAGAGGCCATCAAGAGTGCTAATGTTGCTACGGGTGTGAAAATGCTCACAAAACAATAATCATAGGCAAATTGAATAGGTAGAAAAATTGTTGATTTGGATAAAGGAATAGCAATGATACATGAAAAATTAGTTTAAGGCTAGTAGAGGGTAGTTTGATAAATTTAAGAAGTGTTTATAGATTAAACAGTATATTAGACGTACTATATATAAGGAAGTTTAACACAATCACTGGAACAGATCAATTCAATTTACATGATTTCTAATATGAAAAAAGGATTTCAGTTTTTTAACAAGTTGCTTCTCGAACAGCCTCCCTGAATGAATTAAAGAACTGAGATTCCATTGTACTTAGCACCTAGAAAATGTTAAGGGAGGACATACATTTCCTTTCTTTCCTTTTTTTATTTTTTATTATGACATAATGAGATATTTTTCTGGAAGAAAAATTTAGCTTGCCACTAGGAGTGAAATACTTCAGTTTTGATTATAAAGTAGGGCTCCATCCCTAAATTATATACACTATTTATGCTATAACTGTACATGTTTTTGTTTCAGAATATAATCTGCTCTCAATAGAAAAATGGCAGAAGCCATAAACAGTTAATAAGTAAAGAAATAGAAAGGACCAAAAGTCATGAGGAGAAGAAATAACCTATTATTGATGTTTTTTAGAATTAACTAAAGTTTTGGGGTTTTTTTAGGAAGTAAAAGCTTTGTTCAAGAATGAAAATTGCCCCAAGGTGATAAGCTGTGAGTTTGCACATAATAGCAATTGGTATATCACGTTCCAGTCAGACACGGATGCACAACAGGTAAGAATAAAACTTTTCTCCTAATTTCAGTCCTAGTGATAAAAGAAGTCGTATATTTTAATTGAGACAATGTGTGCTTATAGCACTGTTGAGCAACTTCTTCACCTTTTTGTTTTTCCTTTTTATTTTTGTTCATGAGGTAAGAATTTCACAATTGAATTTGTCCCAAAACAAAGAACACCAATCCTTCCACAGAATAGTCTAATTTTATTTTATTTATTTTTGTTAATCCTCACCTGAGGATATTTTCCCGTTGATTTTTAGAGAGAGTGGAAGGAGGGGGAGAGACACAGAGAAACATCGATGTGAGAGAGACACATCAATTAGTTGCTTCCTGCAAATGCTCTGATGGGGCTGTGATAGAGCCTATCACTGAGGTACTGGCGCTTGACTGGAATCGAACCCAAGACCCTTCAGTCCACAGGCCAATGCTCTGTCCACTGAGCCAAATCCGCCAGGGCTGGTTTTGTTTGTTTGTTTGTTTGTTTTTAATTTTTACCTTGGAAGGCTGTCTGATCGAACCATTTAAAAAATATGTACCCCAGCCAGCATGGTTGAGCGTCGACCTATGAACCTGGAGGTCAAAGTTTGATTCCCAGTCCAGGCACATTGCGGGCTTGGTCCACAATTGGGGGTGTGCAGGAAGCAGCTGATCAATGATTCGCTCTTCATCATTGATGTTTCTATCTCCTTCTCTCTTCCTCTCTGAAATCAATAAAAATATATTGGGAAAAAAAAGATTAGTGACATTTTGGGTCTGTTTGGAATTTTGTGCATTTTATCTCCAATAATCCATAGTAGTTTATCTACAGTAAATGGTGAACTATAGCTGAGATCTTAAATTTTTTCTTTTTTATTCCATATCACCTGCATAATGGAATCACCTTCATAATTCTTTTATTGTTTAGTTTAGAAATAGTTGCTAATACCAAACTCTGGATAGAATAAAGATGGCTTTAATGAAATGCTTGAATGCTAATGAAAGTTCCTTTCTGTTTTGTTAACAGGCTTTTAAATATTTGAGAGAAGAAGTTAAAACATTTCAGGGCAAGCCAATTATGGTAAGAAACATTTGTAAGTAAACTAGCATCTAACAAGAAAGATTTTTGTTGTTTGTCTATTTGAGAATTTTAAAAACACAAATGGATAATATTTTCTAAAAATCATCATGATTTCCAAGAACTTTCTGACTTATGTAACGTGCTACTTCAGAAAATTAGTTGATGGGACATCAAAATACTTTCTATACAGCAATTCCTTTCTAAAGCATAACTTCAAAGAGTATGAAGTTTTAGTTAGATGCTGACTAACAACATGTAAGGTAATCCCAGTTCTCAAAATGAGTAGAAATAATTTTTTAGTAACAAAGTGGAAAACATTTGTAATGCTTTCATCCTCATCTCAATTCACTACATCATTACATTAACATTCAACCTTTTAGAAAACCTGGGAATTGACACTTGTTCACTTTCTTTACATGTCTGATCTATCCTCAGGTTACATGAAATCTGCCTTCAAAACTTCTTTCAATCATTATTGCCATTGTTTAGACTCAAATAATTAGAGTAGCCTTTTAACTGTGAGGCCTTCAGCATTTCCCCCCCTTACAGTTCATTCTCCACATTACTACCAGAGTTACTATCTAAATTGGAATCCTGAACACTCACTCACTTTGACATGCTCCTCTTTCCTTATGTAATACAGAGTGAGGCAAGAGTAGGTTTAGACTTGATCTTATGGAACATAATACAATAATATATTATTTACTGTTGTATTATTATTATACAAAAATAACCAGTTTCACACACTCACAACTGTAAACCTACTTTGCCCCACCCTGTATACTATTTTTAAGTGCAACACATTATTCTTATTGAGCTCTTACTGTGTATCAGTTTCTGTTCTAATCACCATTATATGTAGAGTCATTTAATTCTTAAGAGAACCTAATAAGGTAAGTACTTGTTTTCTTTCTCTCTTTTTTAATCCTCACCTGAAGATATGCTTATAGACTTTAGAGAGAGAGAGAGAGAGAGAGAGAGAGAGAGACAGACAGACATCAATTGGAGAAACATTGATTGCCTCCCATACGCACGTGCCCCAACCAGGGGTCAAACCACAATGTTTCTGGTGTATGGAACAATTGCTCCATCCAGCCATGTTTTCTCTCTTTTACTGGTAAGGAAAGTGAGGCATGAAAGTTACCTGCCCAGTGTCGCACAACTAGTAAGTAGAAGAACCAGGGTGAGAGGAGCTTAAATTTATTAATAGATTATATGTCAGACACTATTCTAAGAACTTGACGTATTTAAATCTCATTATTGCTGTGTGGTAGGTGGTGGTACTACTTTTCCTATTACAGATGAAGCTCTCTGCTGGTTGTCATCTTACTTCCTCTGCCTCTAAGCCTGTTCCCACTATTATCTCCTTTCCCTGATTGAGGCTATAAAACTATTCTCCTAGGTCTTCTAATAGCTTTTAAGTTTTATATATTGGTCTTAGGACCTAGAAACATCTGGAATTAATTTGATATAGTATAAGATGGGTCTCATTTCATTTTTTTCTCTCAAAAAATGGAAAGTCAGTAGTGTCAACAGTTACCTGGGGGACAATTGACAGTTTTACTCTACATCAGCGGTTCTCAACCTGTGGGTCGCGACACCTTTGGCAGTTGAACGACCCTTTCACAAGGGTTGCCTAAGACCATCCTGCATATCAGATATTTACATTATGATTCATAACAGTAGCAACATTACAGTTATGAAGTAGCAACGAAAATAACTTTATGGTTGGGCCACAACATGAGGAACTGTATTTAAAGGGCCAGAAGGTTGAGAATCACTGCTCTACATTCAACATTATAACTTTTTAATGAGAATATTTCTCTGTTAATTCCGGCCTATTGTGTTTTTTAATTATTTCCTTAAAGTAATTTTTGTTGCTTTCCCCCCCCTCTGTTGTGTCTTAGTGATTAAAAGAACAACACATTATTATATGTAGAAACCTTGCCTAACTCCTTTATTATATCTAGTGTTTTGTTGGCTCTTTGTATTATCTGTTTGAGAGATCATATCATCTACACTAATAAAAGAGAAAAATGGTAATTGGCGTACGAGCTACCCTTTTCATTGGCTAATCAGGGCTATATGCAAATTAACTGCCAACTAAGATTGGCAGTTAACTGCCAACAAGATGGCGGTTAATTTGCATATGTAGGCACAATGCAGGGAGGCGAAAGGGAAAGCAGGA